GGTCTTGCCACAACTCTCTTATACTTTAACAGTGATTGCCACTTGTGTATCCATCTGTAGCTCAGACAGTGCTTTGTGCTCATTTCATGTCTGCATTCCTTTGAGACGCTAAACATGTACACAGACACGTGCTTTTGGTTTTGCCAATGTGTCACATGCTGTGTCTCATGTGTGTCATTTTGCAGTGTTTTGTGGTCTTGTGCTTGGCACGTGGTAACGTGGTCAGAGCCATCTTCAACAGTGTTCTGTAGGGCCTGGAGCCAACCTACATGTACATTTGTATACAGACTGTATTGTGAACACCTCTTTAACAATTAAAATTTTTCTTCATACTGTTGGTAATTCGTACCTACATGATTGTACAGGAGAACACTTAAGTTAGTATTTTTTTGTGAACAGAGATATTAGATATTCAACCTGCCTTTCTCTTCCCTCGTGACCTCAATGAAAAGCAGCCTGTCAGCCGATTTAAGCTTCTCATGAATAAACAAAGGTTTAAAAAAAAACATCCAGTATTATATGTACAATGTATGTACAACACAAATCAGTGAAGGGAGAGTAGCACTTAAGAGCGAATGTCTGTAAGGATCAAACAATGGTGGCAGGGGTCAAAAAATCGATTTGGCTCAAACTTTGCACAGTGATAGTACTTGGCCCACAACCCCTCAAAATAGCTTTCTTTCCGGTCAGCACCGATCGTTGCCATGGTAACGGGCCAAACAAGTTTCAGGGCCATTTTCACTGATTTAGACATGTGAAAAACATGAAATTTGGCATAGTTTAAGGCACGATTACGAGCAAGTGCTTTAATATTATGGAAAAACAAAGTATGGGCATAAAAGACCAACTAATCCGCTATTCCAGAATAGCTTTGAAATTTTCAAGAAGTTCGTTTAAATGACCTGGGCAACCCTAACACAATACAGTGTTTGAGGCTTATGAAAAAGCGTTATTTCTACCCAACTTCAAAGTGCTGTAAGTCCAAAGATGGTAAATTTTTTT